TCCAGCGCTGCAACTAACGACAGCTCGAGGCGTGCTCTGTTTAAAACGCCTGTTCCAGGCAATCAAGCAGGTTTGATTGGCTGAACACTCCTCTTATAATTTAATTTAGTCAGGAATCGTTTGCAAGGTAATAAAGAGTGACTCTGCCTCCAAATACATTCATTTAATTCAATGAAAGATGGTTGCTGCGGCGGGCTCGCCTCAGCCAGCTCCCCTCACCCCATCACGGTGACATCTCAAAGTGCTGCTCAGGGCCGTATATAAGAGCCACGATCCACAGTGACAGCTTAATTGTCTCAAATGCTGACAAGGGTCACCCCAACCAGCCATCGTGAGTGGCACGGAGCCGGCTGGGGAGGCTGCGGAGAGGAGGATTTATGGCTGGCAAATAGTTTTGAATTCCTCTGGTTGCGCCTGCTAAATGATGAACCTGCCCCGAGGGGACTGGGGCTATTGATTGTAATTTGCAGTTAAGCCCTCGCATTCTGAGGAATCAGCATAATAAATACCCACCGCATTAAGGCTGGGACGTGCCTGCCTGCAGGAGAAGGAAGCAGAGGTTTTCCCGGCTTGGGTGCTGCAGCAGGATGCTCTCTCTGCCCCTGGCAGGTTCCATCACTGCAGGAAAATGGTCCCCAGATTGGTGGGATGCAGGAGCCCTGTGCTGGAATGGGGAGAATGGAGTGTTGTGAAGGCAGGTGGAGTGTCCTGCTCGTCCAGGGAGGAGAGGATGCTCTGGTATTTTTGGGATAATCGGTGTCTAGATCCCTGCCAGAACCTCTGCAGCTGGTTGGTCCCAGCCACCTTTGGAGAGGGGTGTGAGGAGGTGCATTTGTTCCTCACTCCCATGTTCTGTGATTTCTTCGTAACTTCCAGTGGTTTGGGGGAACCAGAATGGGTCAGGGCCATTTTCCAGCTGTTCACATCTGAGGCTCATCTACATCCTGGGAGGGATGTGGGACAGTCCAGCTGTGCCACCAGGGGTGCAAGGGACAGGGACCATGGGAGGAGTCCCTCCAGCCACTCTCTCCCCGCTGCTGCCCAGCTCTGTGAGGGAAGATCAGCTCCATCATGAGTGGAGATGAGAATAATAGCAGTCATCAAATATGCATCGGGTCCCTGGGCGCAGCAGCGATGGTCCTGCAGCTGCCAGGGGTGTGATGGTCCCCGTGGGGAGCGGGGCTGGAGCACTGAGAGCTCTGAGCCTGCCCCACACAGGGCCACTGGCCACCCCAGGTGAGTGGCTGTGGGTGTCCCAGCTGGGTGGCACCTCCCTTGGGCTCGCAGGTGCTGCTCTGCTGGAAAGGGACTTTGTGTGCAATGGTGGTTTTTAAGCAACCGCTGTTGTTCAGGTTCTCCCAGTCAAGGTGTGTGGTGTCCCCTCTCCTCTGCCTGTCCCTGCCTGTGCTTGCTGTCTTTATCCTCCCTTATCTCATCTTCTAACTTCCCACATTCCCACTGCCCTCCAGAGCAGAGCGGCCTCCCCAGAACACTCCCTCCTTCCCTGGAACCCTCTACCCCATGTTTCCTACCACCCCTTCCCCACATTCCTTTTACCTCGGGGCTGTTTTGCCCCAGGAAAGCTCCTGGGCTTGGCTTTGGGACTGAGGTGATGGCACAGTGCTGTGACCTGGCTCCAGGGCTGCCAGCCAGCATATTCCTGGGTGCACGCCAGCATCGTGCCCAGCTGGTCTGTGCTTCCAGCATCTGCTCTGGCCTATCTCTTCCCATAACACCTCCCTCGTGGGGAGCAGGCAGCAGCTGGCAGGCAGGGATTGCCATGTATTGCTCATGTGCTGGGTCCCCATCCTCATTTTGAAAGCAGGAACTGGAGGGGGTGGAAATTAGCCAGGTGGGGGGCGTGATGGGTGCTTGGGGAAGCAAGGAAAGACCCCACTGTGCCTCGGGGGCTTGCAGGGCTGTGCTGCTGTCACGTTGCTGGAAGCGTCCAGCTTCTCCCTATGCTCCCAGCATCCCTGGAGCAGTGACTGGAGTGACAAGATCTGTGGCTGGGCTTCTTCACCTGCTCACAGGTGTTTGAATGTGGATGAGTTCTGCAATGATGCAGAACTGAAGACAGAGAAGGGGATGTGGTGAGAGGTACTGCCACAACCAGGAGGTTGTGGTGCCTGGGCTGACTCCGTGGTGCCGGAGCACGGAGCTCCCGGGGCACGGCAGCGCCGGGGCCGGCGTGGTGTGGTGTGGTGGCACGGAGCCCTGCTCCGGCTGTAACTGGAAACAGGCTGTAAGCGGAGCCGGGGCCGGCTGGTGACCGCAGACCTGCCTGGAGACGTGGAGCTGCTGCCTCTGGAGCTCTGCCCGCCGATGCCGGCACTCCGAAGGTACAGTCCTGGGCAGCCGCGCGTCCTGCCGGGCTGGGGCGGGTGAACCCCCAAGGCCGAACCCTCCATCCCTTCCCTGCATCCGACCACAGGATGCACCCACCGCAGGCTGCGGCGGTGGGACCGGGGCTGCCCCGGGCCGTGTCCCTGGGGTGAGGCGGCTTTTTCTGCCTCACCCACGTGGCTGGAGACATTCAGGACAGATCTGACCAAAGGATGCTCTGGGTACCTTCTACCAGAGCCTTGATACCCATTGCCACCACAGAGACCCCTCACTTCCAGGTTTTACACCCTGGGTACCTCCTGAGCGCTGCTGCTGGATGCAGCCGTGCCCAGACACCCTGGAAGCAGCCACCAGGTGTGATGCTCCTCCGAACCCCTGCATTTACCTCCACCCCACTGCACCTGGACACAAAAGCCTCTTGGCCAGCTCTGCTGTGCCAAAGGCAGAGGTGAACCCTCTAGCCAGGATGAAGAATATGGGGAAGTGTTTTTGAGGTCTGGTATGAAAGGCAGCATCTGTGTGGGATGAAGCCCCCTCTCTCTCCCTTTATTCACTCCCTCCAAGAGCCCTTGTCATGGGCAGGGAGGCACAGCCATGGCAACAGCACGGGAGCTGTGCCAGGGCCCAGGGCACGGAGAGCACTGAGGGGCCGCTGCCCTGCCTGGGGGGACAGAGGTAGGGACCGTGGAAGGCAGTGGGGTGGTGGCAAAGGCTGCTACATGAGTGGTGGGATGCAGGGAGTGACCTGCACCAGGTTTTCACCAGCTGGGTACACCTTTGCTCTCTGCCAGCAGAGAGGGAAGGGCTGTGTCTGTTCCAAGGTGGTTCCCTGCCACGTCGTGGTGCCCAGGCTGTGTGTGCCCATGCCAGGAGGAGGGGGTAGGGTGGTGGTGTGGGGCAGGCCCTGTCAGCCCCATATGGCTCAGTGGCCCTGGCAGACCTGTGCATGGACTGTGACAGTGCCAGGTAGGGCTCCTGCTGATCCCGTGTTTCTGATGCCTGCCAGGTGCCTCTCATCCCGCTCTGCCCACCCTGCACTCCAAAGCTGCCTCCATCTGTGCAGACCAGGCTATGTCTATCCCAGAAATTAATGCAGGGGGGAGGCAAAGCCATGGGATCACGGTGGACTCCACTCTGCTGTAGATACGGCAGGGAGGGACAAGGTTTGGGGACAACACAGTGCCAGGAGGTGCCAGCCTTTGGGCTCTTCTGATCTTGTGGGAGATCAATGGGTTCAGTCCAGCAACTGCTGGTGGTTCTTTGGTTCTGCAGCTGCTGCACAGCTGGATGCTTCTGTCTCCCCAAACACATCCCCTGTAAGGGGGTGCAGCAGGTGCTGGTCCTGCCCACACCAGCCCCACTGCTGCCTGCAGGTGATCCATGTGGGACAGCGAGTTCCCAGCGCTGCTGCTTAAACTTTGATGAGCTGCAGGAATCCAGGCCTGGCATTAACATTTGATGTGGTCACCCCATGCCTGGGCACATGTGTGCGCAAACACGCCGCTGGCACTGCCGTGGGTCACACGTGTGGCACACACAACCCCTCTTGCCAGCTGTGTGTGGGCAAGTGTGGCACCCTGCACGAACCTGCCACCTGGCATGGCATGAGGAGTGTCCCTGCGGGCTCTGGGCTCCTCAGTGCTTCCCAGCACGGCTGTGGAATTTGGTCTGCTGTTGGCTCCTTCCCTTGTGTCTCTCCCCTTGGGTGTGTTCCCACTGCTACCTTGGGCTCTGCAGAATCGACGCCTCTCTCTTGGTGCTGTCATTTGGATTCACGGATCTCTGGGCTTCATCCATCTCCGTGCTGACTGGAGGAAGAGGCTGATTCTTCAGGGAGGGGCAGAGGAAGCCCCGAGGCGTGGCGAGGTGGCAGGGTCCCGTTTTGGGGTACCGGTGCTGCCCCCGCAGCGTCCCCCTGGGGGGATGTTCCCAGCAGCGAGGGCCCTTCCCTGCTCCTTCGGAAAAGTCTCGGGGCTGGCGTGGTGCATCCCTTACATAATTCATGCCTCCGCAAGCCTGGCGGTTGGGTTACAGCCGCATCGCAGCCACCGGCACCGCGCTGCCGACTCGCGGGGTGCGCGGGAGGCAGGAGCGGCTCCGCCGGGCTGCCCCGGGGCCGGTTCCACCGGCCCAGCGCCATGCCAAGCGGGCGGCCACCGGCGCCCGAGGGAACCGCGCACGGGCATGTGCCTCGCCAAAGCCGGGCTCAGGTAAACAGGCAGCCGGGGCAGGCGGCGGGGTCCGGAGCCGGGCGCTGTGCCGGGAGCAGGCGCCTGCCCGCACAGGGCATCATCTCCCAGGGCCCCGCTGGGGCCGGAGCATGAGCTCCCGACACTGCCAGGATGGCCGGCAAGAAAGGGGAGCCCAAAGGGAAGGCAGGAAAAGGGAAAGGGAAGAAGGGCAAGAAGGAGGATCCCAACGAGTCAGAGGATGGCTCAGATGCGGAGCTGCTGAAGGCAGAGGAGACGGAGCAGACGGAGGTGGTGGAGGAGGAAAAGGAAGAAAAGGAGGAAAAGGAGGAGGAAAAGGAAGAAAAGGAGGAAAAGGAGGAGGAAAAGGAGGAAAAGGAGAAAGATGAGGAGGAGGTGGCTGCAGAGGAGCCCAAGAAGGGGAAGGGGAAGGAGAAGAAGGGGTTGCCCAAGGCAGGAGTGGCAATGAAACTGGGCCGTGGGAAGAAGGTGCAGCAGGAGACGGAGGAAGGGGAAGGCGAGAGCAATGCTGCAACAGGCAAGAAGAACGTAAAGGGCACCTCCAAACTGGTGATGGGGCTGACAACCGACAAGAAGAAGAAAGGGGCCAAGGGTGCAGAGGCCAAGGGACAGCCCAAAGAATCTGTGGAAGCCAGCGCAGCTGTGGAGGAGGAGGCAGCAGCACCTCCGAAGGCCCGGGCAAAGCGAAGCCTCCGCAGCACCTCGAAGCTTTTCCTGGGCTTCAAGAACCTGGGGTTGCGTCGGCCCAAGAAGGGGCAGTTCAAGAACACATCCCGCTTCTTCTGGGGGCTGCATAAGCACAGCACCAAGAAGAGGAAGAAGAAGAAGAACAAGGCAGTGCTCAAGTCCACCTCCAACCTGATGATGCGCTTCAAGCAGGTGGGCAAGAAGAGGAAGGAGGAGGCCAAGAAGGAGGCAGCATCCAAGCCATCCTTCCTGCTGCTGCGGCGGGGCGGGCAAGACATCGAGAACGGCGCGTCGCTCTTCCGCCGGCGCCCGGAAAGGAAATTCAAGCCCCGGGCGCAGGTGCTGAGCAAGGCGGCCTCTGCCACGGGCTGGCTGGCCAGGAAGGTGCTTTCCCGGCGCGGGCGGCTGGTGGGGGGCAGCCGAGCGACTGACACGGCCTGGCTGTCCCGTATCGGTGCCAAGAAGCTGCCGTTCCCCGCGGAAGATGAGATCCTCAGGCACCGGGCCAACATGAAGCGGATCCCTGGCGGTGTGGGGCTGTCGGCGCCCGGCACTCCGCGGCAGGGCAGCATGGTGAGGCGGCCGTCCCGCCGGCGCTCCCAGCGAGCGGCCCAGGAGCCGCCGGCGCCGCGCTACGGCTGGGCCGAGGAGGAGAACGGAGCCCACGGCCCCCGGAGAGGCTATGGCAAGGAGGATGGAGGCTACGGCTCCCGCCGTGGCTATGCCAGGAAGGAGGATGGAGCCTATGGGCCCTGGCGCAGTCACCCCAAGGAGGAAGATGGAGAGTACGGCCCTCACCACGGCTACGCCGAGGAGGATGGAGGGTACGGCCCGTGGCACGGCTACAGCGGGGAAGAGGATGGAGCCTATGGCCCCCGGCACAACTACTCCGAGGAGGAGGAAGGCTACATGCAGAGCCCAGCCTACCCAGCAGGGTACGGCTTTGAGGATGCGGTGCCGACCCCCTACTCTGACTACCCCGGTTATGAGACAGAGGAGGAGTATGACTCCTACGGGGGATTTTGGGAGGACGGTGACCAGCCAGGGCACCCCTACGGCTACTCAGAGCTCGAGGATGAGGGAGTGTATGGTGGTGGGTCTCCCCTCAGCCTCTATGACCCATACAGCAGCGACCCGGAGTACGGTGAGGAGGCAGAGGGGCCCTTCGGCTACAGGGGGGACCCCTACGAGGATTTTGGGGAGTCCTTTGCCAGGGGGTACCCTGGGGGCGAGTACCCCGAGCATCGCATCCAGTACAGCGAGGGTGGGTGGGCGCCGCATGCCCAATCCTCCTGCAACCCCTACGCCCTGGGCCTGGAGGAGATCGCTGAGGGCGAGGAGCCCGAGGAGTGGGAAGAAGAGGAGGAAGAAGAGAAGGAGTATCCCTTTTCCATCCTGAGCGCCTCCTCGCTCCGGGGCATGCGGGAGACGCTCTCCTCCAAGCTCTCCCTCAACAGGAAATTCAGGCTCTTCCCCCGACCCCAGGTCAAGCTTTTCGGCAGGGACCGCCTGGACGTCCCCCTCCCGCCGTCCCCGCACCTGCCCGCTGCCCGAGACGAGGACGACTACGACGAGTACGAGCCGCCGCCGCCTCCGGCAGCCCCCGGCCCCGCGGCATCCCCGGCACGCCGGGTTTCGGCAGCGCGGGCGTGCGGGAGCCCTCTGGGCCAGTTCCTCCAGCGATCCCTCTCCATTCCTCCCAGCCGCCCGCTGCGAGGTGCCGAGGGATTTCGGGGGTCCCGCACCCCCCAGCCCTCCAACAGGCGCTCCAGCCGCAGGCTGGCGGGGATGGAGAACACCGGTTTGGGGAGCCGGGACCCTTCCCCACCGGCGGGGCCCTGGGGGCAGCCCCCGAGCCGGGAGCCGGGGGCTGCGCGCCGGCCGTCGCTCCGTAACCCCTTCGCCAACCCCGGGCGCTCCCCGTCACCGCCGCCCGTCCGTCCGCGGCCCGGCAGCACGCGGGGCGAGGGGCCACGGCGATCCCCGTCCCTCGGTGCCAGCCTCCGGCGCTTCGGCCCCGAGCCCCCCGCCCCGCCACCGGCCGCCCCCCGCTCACCGGGGCCGGGGGGGAGACGCCTGGGGGGGCCCGCGGCGGGGAGACCTCTGTCATCGCGCCGGAG